CTGGCCGAATCAAAAGATTTCCAATTTAAATTTTCAATGAGTATGGTAAATTATAAATTTAATAATCTTTCAAAAACAATAAATTAAATAGGAAGGATTTTGATTTTAATTAATGGAGGTAAATAGGGTCCAAATGGATGCTTGAGGAGTCTATAAGTTAGTCTGAGTTAATAAATGGAATGTTCTCACCAATCTTCTGTAATAATAATTTTCTTCTTAGTTTAAAGGCTTAAATTCTTCTTTCTTCGGTTAACTTAATTTGGATATTTTGCCAATACTTTACTTTATATTTTCATAATTTATTTCACAACTAATATAGTTTCTATGTGCTCTTCTTGAATAGCTAAACTGCACTCTCCTTTTCATTGTTGTAAATCATATCAAGTTATGGGGTTCACATAAATAAAAACATGGTTGAATTTTATTAATAGGTAATCTTGAACCCAGATGGATGGTGTTCTGATTGGAGGATTTGTTTTTGAATAATAATTTTGGATAAGCCAATGAATAAATTTTGATAGTAAATTATATATATGTTGAGACAATATGGTTTTAATAATATTAAAAATGGACATGGATAAATATTGAAAATATAACAAGATTGAGTTTGAAAATAAAATAAGGACTATAATTATAAACATTGAATTTTGAGTCATTACACATCCTACAAGTTTTCAACAAGCTATCGTAGGACCAGTGATAAGGGTCGCGTCGTAAAGCCACCTATTGTCCACCACTGAGGGCGGCTCGACCCTCATTAGTGCCGCTCGGTCGCACTCAGTAAGGAATCTGATACCATAAAATAATTCTCTTAAGTAATAAAAATAGTTGAGAATAATAGTGATAATGAGATTTACCTTGAAATTTCGAGTATTTTTATGTAAAATTTGGAGTAAATCGGCCAATTTTCACATTTTAATTTTTCTCTAAAGACGTATGTTTAGTAATTGCCGAGTTGAGTCAAAATTTACAACAAATGACTTGAAATTTAAAGACGATATAAAACGATTATTTTCAATATTATTTTTATTCCTCAATCGAATTTTTATTCCTTCATTCGATTGACTAATACGTCGTGCTGTCTACGGCTCAGAGAAGCGTATAGCCTATACGATTGTAAGGTTGTATAACGATTAAACATTATTTATCATGAATAAATTTAAATTAACTATCCCATTTATATGTTTATATATTTATCGGATTTGGATGTCATAAAGTGATCACTGCCCTAAAGCTAACATAATTTGTTTGAAGAAGTTGGTATTGTAATATATCCAATATTATACAGAAAAATCAGGTTTAAATGTTATTTTTGGAGTTTATATAGGTGCGTTCGAGCCCAATTCAATGCAACTCAAGTATTAATACGTCCAGTAATATCTCATTATGAAAAGCGGTCATGGCGTAAAAAAATTAACAAGTACACTAACAATGTTAATAACATCAATATGGTCATTACTTACATCAATTAATTTCCGGACTTCAAATTTACAATTCCTCTATCCCAGAAAGGTCCATCTCTTCTCCTTCAGATGGTTCATCTGCACCTTCACTGTCCTCACTGTCACTTTGTCCTAAATCAACAATAACAGCATCATGGAACTCGTCAATTAATTGTTCTCTCTCAAAATACTGATCTTCAATACTTTTCACGTGACTGCAGCACTTTTTCCACTCACTGGCACCGATTTCAGATACCTTCGCTTCAACTAATCTCATAATACTGTTCATGTTAAACTGAGTGTTGCGTTCAGCTACATAACCCTTGATCTGAGACCAGATGAGTTCGATGGCATTCAAGTCAGGGTGATATGGAGGCAGACGAAGAACCGTATGACCACTGTCATTCCCCTCTAAGATTTCGTCTAGACTGTATCTCGTTGGTGGTTTATTTTGCTGGATTAGGTTGAGAAGCTCTGCCTTAAACATTGTCGGTGTGAAATCTATGTTGTGTTGAGTCAACCAGGCCTGCATGTCCGCCTTTAGAGAACTTTTTGTGGGGATTTTATCCAGTGTCACATTGTGATAAGAGGCATTATCAATAATAATTACCGATCTTGGTTTCAGATTTGGCAACAGTTTTTCTTGTACCCACTTTTCATAGTTAACAGTGTTCATGTTTTTGTGATAGTCCCCTGTACTTTGGCTGGCTTTCCACTGGAGAAATGTGTTTGGTATAAAACCATCTTCTCCACCTGCGTGTACGATGATTAGACGGTCTCCATTACCAACTGGAACATGAAGTCCACCATTTGTACTATCCTGCCATGAACTTGGAGTAACGTGATTGGTTACCACATACGTCTCGTCGGTGTACACTATTGGTCGGCCTTCCCTTCTAAATTGCCTCATTTGCCTAATAAAATTTATCCTTTTGTTTCTTATATCTTCTCTTTCAATCAGGATTCTTCTGTTATTCCTAGTCTTTCTCCACTTGAAACCCAGTTCTTTCAAAATTCGCCTCAGACTTGTGTTGGAGCCTTTGAAATCGATGGCTTCGGAAAGTCTCAATCGCAACTTCTCAACTGTCGGGACACATTTGTCAGATACATAGAAATTATGTACAGTTCTCCTAACAACTGCTTTGTTAAACTCATCCATTTCTGTAATATTCTTTTTAATTTCTCGTTTTTTATCTGGTGTCAAAAATGAAGCAGTCTCACCAGGGGGAGTGTTATTTAGTTTTACAGCTTCTTTTGTAATCCGGTGTATGGTACTTACAGAAACACCCGTTGCTCTGGAACATCTTTCCTGGCACCTTTTCACTGGCACTATGAAATTATTTTCATTCCACTGTCTAGCTTCTTCTTTAAACCCCAAAGTGCGACAATAAAAATGTTTTACAAAAACACAAGTTCATTTCAGATCACTAGACTATTAATTCGTTTCTTTAGACACCATGTTTCTTGTTCATACGATCGATTGATAGTCCAATTTATTTTAAGCGGGAGTTTTTATTACAAGATAACAAAGTTAAAAAGGTTTACACAATTTACGAGAAAATAGATCATAATGTTATATTTCTGAAACTTGACAGAACAAAAATTGTTGTAAATCACCCCAATATTCGTCGATTTGTATGTGTGTATATATATTGTAATAATTATATGATTTTTAAATAACTCCAAAATTTCGAAACCACAGATTTTTTAACTTTTAGTGATATAAATTTAACAAACTGTGTACAAATTTGAAACTTTGTAATATAACATTTGACAATACTTTCTTAAATTTGATAGGGTTCTCGTCAAAATTGAACGAACCATTTCGAAGGTGTGGGTGTGATACCGTACACTCGAGTCCACACTTATTGTTGCACGGGCAGTAGTTGTAGGAAACCAACGTTTTCAGGAAAGTACCCGCACTCCTCCCCGCGCCCATCCCAACGCTCGCCAATCCATCTGTCAAGATCTGTGGCGACCCTTATAGTCTGAATCCCACTAATCCAAATGTATGACCAATCCATACCAAAAACAACTAAGTTATAATGTGTTCTAAAATATACTACCGGTAACACTTCAGCTTATCGCACCCAGTATTACTTTTCACAGTTCCACAGAGAATCTGAGTTATCGTGTTAAATATCGATGTAGAGATTTTGATTGGGTTCTATATAGGCCTACATTACAACTAAGTTAACTTAATTTTATTTTACCAGTCACATGAAATAAATAAAAACAATAAGAATAGTTCGCTAAAACATCCTATTAAAGTTGTTTGTTTATTTTATCTTAGGTTTGAGTTGTTAAAGCTTAATACTGGTATGCATCCAGGACTACGGTACCTATCAATCCAATCTTAAAATTTAGCTAAGACCGATTAATATGACATTAATTTTAACTTAGTCAATTTAGCCAGTAGGATATCAGAAGCCAGATTCATATCGAAGGTGATAGCTTAGACAGTAACAGGTATACCACTGGGCCCTGCAATCAAAAGGGGACAATAGTGTTTAGCCAAAAAAAAATGAATTTTCATTATTTTCAAAATTAATATTTTACCACAATTGGTGATGAGGATTATGATGTCCCGTGATCCCTGATGATGTCCTGTGATTGCGGCAGATACATACAAGATTTTGCTGCGATTGCAGGTGACAAAAGTGTCCCAATGGGGAGACATTCACAATTTTGTCACGATATCGAGGAAGTTCTAAATAAGGGACGGGAGCCAATCAACTTATTCTGACGAAGGGTCGCAAGTAAGTTACCCTATATCCACCAATGGTGATAAGATACTTAGGCCTAGGCTACAGTAGGCAGCTACTTAATCGAAGTTGGGAAAATTCTTGGCCAATGCAAATTGCAATGCTTCGTCATAAGTTAGGCTGCACTTTACTTTACGTCCTACACTCATTCAAATGAAAATATCAATCGATAAGTTATATCTATATTATTCTAAGTTATGTACTGTATCTTTTGGTTAGTTAGGTAAGGTTAACCTAACCTAACTAACCAAACGATATATTGAATGAAACAATCGATAAATCAATATTTTCATCCGCTTGTTTCATTCAAATTAGTGTAGGACGTTAACTAAAGTGGGGTACACTTCCATATCTGTTGGCACTAATATCGAATGAGTACTTTTTATATCGAATGAGTACTTTTTATCGATATATCGATTAATCGATATATAACCTAACCTAACTAACCAAACTATCGAATGAGTACTTTTTATCGATATAGGCCTATCGATAAAAAGTACTCATTCGATATTAGTGCCAACAGATATGGAAGTGTACCCCTAAAGTGCAGTCGGACTAAGTTTAGACCTTGGAATCTATATCGTTTAGTGAGTTTAGATCCATTAAAATTCTTAAAAGGATGTTATAACAACTAGCCTATATAAAATCACGTAAAAAATGCATCTTTCAACTTAACTTATGGCTTTAGTCATATTAAAAGCCTAAGTTTAGGTCTAAATCAGACATAGGCCTAAGTGAGTTAACTTAATAGAATATTTCACTAGTTTCACCACAGACTAGGGTTCCCACTTACCTTCCAAATAAAGGATAAAATCATAATCCTTGCAAAAAAATGAAATTTAAAAATTCCCTTCCCAACCACATTGTAAAGTCAGGTCACATAAATTGTAAACACACATTTATGCCTATCACCATTCTGGAGTCAAGAACAATTTTCTAAATTCACGTCCTTTAGCTTGCCTATTACTTGCTGAAAGATAAAATTACTGGAAAATATTCAATAGGTTATCGTTAAAATTGTAAATAAAAATTAAATGTCTGTTCTCTGACTCTCTCGTTCCGTTCCCGTTGTGTTTTTGTTTGTGTTGTGTTATATATGTTATGACATTTTCATTTTCATTCATTATCGCTTTTGATGAAAAAAACTTAAGATTTTTACTTACCATGTAGTCGTTCAGCTACAGTTCAGTGGATACCAACATAGATGCGTCCATTGATTATGCATGGTACAAATAGACTTCTCATGATTCCATGGTTGTAAAGTTTGAAACACACTGTTATGTACGTTTTGAGTCTTAAGACATAAGACATTTATTCATCATTTTTACATATGTAATGCATAGACAGGTCAAATTGTTGGTAAATACATCTCGTATTCAGTCTTGGGTAAATAATAGTATAAATAACAAGGAATTCAGTTAATACAGTCAATATAATACAAGAGTTAAAATTGAAATTGAGCTACGAGCAAATAAGTAAAAAAAGTTACATACCATGGCAAGAGATTTAAAATTTGACAGTAATAAATTAAAAATTCCTGCAACTTATATCTAAATCACAGTTACATCCTATTTCAAATATTTTTTATTAACTTATCAGACATGCTAAAAAAATCCTCGACACGGTAGAGCGGATTGTTTTTAGGTAATTTATTTAAGAGCCTGATACGCATCACAACATGTCCTGATCTAGTTTTTTTTCCAACCGTACCTGAGGCAGATCAATCTTTTTGCAGTTTCTGGTACTAAGTATGTTGTATCTATGCGAATACTGTGCACTTCATTTCTCATTTTGTATTTAAAGCTATTCTTAAAAGTAAACAATAATAATTGATAAATGTATAAGTTAATGATGTTCAATATTTTTAATTCAATAAAAAGGGGTTTACAGTGTGCTTCACTATCCTCTTTACACATTATTCTGATGATTTTTTTCTGAGATTTTACTGAGTACCTCGTGGATTTTAGGTGAGCTACCATATAAATTAAACCATATGAAGCAATTGACTGAAATAATGCAAAATTTAAGTCGTGAGGTTCTATTGCGCTAATTTTGACTTAATATTAGATTGTTAGTAATTAAATACATCAATGATTTTTTTTCTATTTTTAGAATAGATTTTTTAATTTGTACTCCTCAAAACACTACACAAACAGAAGTTGACTATAGACTAGTAAGCTAGTAGAATAGTAGTAGACTAAACATCAAAGACATCCCAAGAACAAAACGACCTGCGCAGAAACTAAAACTAAAAGATCACGTGGTTCGCGACGGTGGGGGTGGGTGTGGCGTACCCTATAAACCTGCGCGGCGCGAAAAGGCCCAGGGTTGTTTTGTTTCTATAGGTCGGCCGCTTAGAAAACGACCTCCTCCAGCATTGGTTTAGCATTAGCGCGCAGGTCGTTTTCTAAGCGGCCGAACTATAGGATGTCTACAGTTTTACTTTCAGGAAATGTTGCCACTCCTTTTTTATAACTGCAGTAAAATCCCAAAAGAAGTAACATATGGATATGACTAACTTTGTTGCTTGAATACCGGCTTCAGTATCCAATAGTCAATAATACCGGACAGACTGCCAGACTGGACTACGGGATTACTCCCAAGCCCAAGCCCAGAAAATGGAAGACTGACTAAACTAATAAACGGTATCAGCAATCTGTATCTGACACATACTTTTACTCCCGTTAGCTAGTCAACAACCTTTATCATGGGTAAGTGACGGGACTAACTATGACATGTCATAGGGAACATCACACAAGTTTCAATAACTTTCCAACCTTAATTTTTATAGCAATTGTCTGTACCATTTCGTTTATAATCATAAGGTACATATCATATTACATAGGTACATTTTAATTGAAATTAGTCAATCTGTTTGTTTTTTTTGTTGGATATTTTATTTTATAGATTTTTTTATCATGGGAAAGTCACATATTAATTACAATAACTTTTGAGCCATATTTTACAGCAATGGGGATTGTATAGTTTTTTTCAGAATTACAACTACAAGGGCTTCAATTTGAATTAAAATTGTTCGGGCCATTTTTGTGAAAAATAAATCTTTCAGTTTTTAAGGGAAATTCCCCATGAGAAAAAAAATCCCTAGAGGTAGGCTATTCTAGATTAGTAGCCACATACAAAGTATGAAAATTGTAGGTCTGTACACATACACACACACACAAAAACCACTTTTTTGACAAAATGACTATATCCACCCAAAATGTTGACGAAAACAATACCTTCTCCTGATACGATGTATAGGGGGAGGAAGTAAAAAAAATATATGTACTGTTCGACCCAGGAACTTTCAGTATTTTAATCTTATAATCTAAATAGTAGGTCATTAATCAAACAGGAATGGGTAATAAAGTAGCAAACACATAAATAGAAAATGAATAACACTTTAATTGAGTAAAAAATATTGTCTTAATCCTATTGTATTTATAAGGCCTCAAACATGAGAGACAAATAACCTATTTACATCCTAACAAATCTATTTGATCTGTTGTTCAACTTTCTACTATCCAAAGTTGATTAGGTTTTTATACAAATCATGTTATGATTGGCATATTACTTAGTGAAAATACTATGTAACCCTACAGTTACAAGAAAAAAAAAAACTTTAAGAAATGTGTTTTTGATCAAATTAAAGCTGTATAGATAGTTAATTATGAGTTAGGATTGAGGAAAACTACTATAAAACTTAGTGGTTTCATTTATTCAATTCCATTTGATTGGGATTTAGGACTCAAAATAAAATGGGCTTGCGTGTGACTGACAAACCCAAACATTGTTTTATCCATAGCCGAACAAACAAGCACAACCTGTTTGTCTAGTGCTTTTCAGTAAATTCAGTTTCATTGTTATATTTATTAATGATTAAATATATTACTGTAGTTTATTACATTTGCTAAAATGATGAATAATACTCTTAAGTCTGTATTTTTTCAGGTTTTAGCGAATTTCCCTATAGGGAAGTAGCTATTACCGTAGGTCTCATGGTAAGACCTAAGCCCGGGACCGATTTACTTTTTCATTTTGATGTCCCCAGAGGCCAAAAACACCATTCGTTCAAATTTTTATATATCTATATATAGATATATATATATGTGTCCATCCGCACAATAACTTGAGTAATTTTTGTCCGATTTTGATAAAATTTGGTTTGAAGGTGTATGGCAGGATAAACTTGAATGAGTTCGCGAACCAGCATGATCGGACTATGGGAACGGGGGTTTATGGGGGGTTTTATGGGGTAAAAATAGGTTTTTCCCATTTTTGACCCTAAAAACACAAGATTTTACAATTTCTTTTTAAACCATTTTGTAGAGCTTAAAAAAACAAATAATTTAGTATATTGAAGCGTTATTATCCGCCTAATTGTTACAGAGAAAATTCAAAAAAATTGTAATTTTAAAATTCCCATGTTATTCTTATGGAGAATAAGTCAACTGTTGTAGTTTGCTTGTTTATGAACATATTTTGATCAAATTTGGAAAATACATTAATTTCTTACTAAACCACAGTACCTTTTAATATTTTACATTAAAAAAAACTTTTTTACCCTTCCTGTTGCAGCAAACCTAAGTACTCATTAAACTAATTTTGTTTAAATAGGGAATAAATGTGATATTTTTAAGGAGACAATTTAGTTTAAATCTAATCAGGCAGATGGAAATTCGCTAAGTCTGCAGGTTTGCTGCGGCGGGGGTTTTTATTTAGTTTTTTGTGGTTCAGACTTTTTTGTTCAAACCAGGGTTCAGTCCCATTGTGTCGAAAAGAGAAGAAGTCTACTGTACTAGTTTTGGATAAAATCAATCAATTATATCAATTATTTAAGATGGGGACGCCACTATGTGCGTATTTTAACCCAAAATGAGTGAAGGATGAGTGGCACGATCTTGTAGTCTTGTTGGTGACTAAAGCAGACATGTTCCTTAGAAACAGCTGTTAATTAATAGCCATACAGCCAATGACAACTAAGGGACCTTCAGTTTATAGTTGAATCCGAACCACATTTTTCCTTGTAATTAACGAATTGGTCTAATTATCAGGATAGTACTGCGGATAGTCATAGTACTTACTAGTGCAGATGTTAATCCACACCAGGGAGCATCGCATCCACAGTGCATGCCTATAAATATCCATAATTCGTGACCTAGTAACTGGATTACAGAATAATTTCTGATATCACCTACTAGTAGTTTTCCAGTAACAGCGGAACACTTTAATTGTGCAATGTCTGAAAACATTGGTTTTAAATAAAGATAGATTACATGAATATTGACAAAATTACTCACTTAAAATACTGCATAGCACTAAAACTAAAATGTTATTGTTAATCTTACATATATTTTAAATAATATAAACATAAAGGCTAATCATTGATCAACCATGTGCAATAAAATCCTCCGAATCCACCGAAAGTTTTAAGATATAGCCTAACCTAAAAGCTATCACCTGATAACTCTATTGCATTGTAAATAAAATGTTAACAATACTGTACATTCTCTGTTGTGTGATTAGTTGGACTGTAATCAAAATTTATATTCGTGGTGACTTCTAATTTTTCAAAGATGACAATTCCACCTGTTTCTTCAGCTTTGCTGACCAATGTTAGTGAAAACTAATAATTAAACAGTGTGAAAACTCAAATTTGTTTGATTTTTGTCGCCTTAACATACACCATTAGCTGGCAAAACAACACGAATAGCAGCATTCACCTGTTGTATTATTTGATATGAAATAATATAAATATAATCTAACCTAATAACAAATGCTATACACAATTCAAAGCAAAAATGCAGTTCAATGCATCCATTTTCAGGGAAATGCTTTAGTAAATCTGTACAAAGATAGATTTTATTACAATACTAACTAATATAATAGTATTTAAAAGGTATCTTTGGTTGCTAAAAAATATCACAGACAGCTCGTATAAGATGCATCTATTTTGATAGATTAGTTTTCGACGGTCTTAATGTGATGTAACGAAGGGTTTAGATTCTCCTTGTGTTTACGTTTAGTCATTGCTCTGATGTTGGTTTTTTAATTTTGATTTTGAACCAAAAAATCAAATACAAAATAGACAGTTACCAATATTATTGATGAGATTAATGGTAAAACAGGTTGATGTCTAATGATCAATATATAGATAAAAAAATCTACATATACATGTGAGTTTTTCTTTGATTATCTTAATCTATTAAATTATTTCAAAATTTGAAGAACAAGTTCTCAAAATCATGTTACCAATTGAATTCTTCTTTCAACGTCCAATAGCCTAACTTGTCTGGAGCCCGATAGAATGTGCAGATTTTGCTGAGAAGACTTTTGAAGAGAGGGGAACTTCCTTCTTCCAGTCTACCTTCAAACCTGGAATCAAATGTGCTAAACTAATACATTGATCTCGGGTGAAAGACAATTGTATTCATCATTTACTTTTTTATACTTGGAAAATAATAGCTGCTTATAAATAGCATTTATTACTTTGTGACATAAGTACTTAAGTAATTTAAGAGGAATGCAGCAAAGGAAATAAACTTAATGTAAAGGAATATTTACCATAACAAAATGCCATACCTTCAATGTCTGATTGAATTGGATCACTGAAATATAGTGAAATACCATTGCTAACCATACAGTAGTCACAGGGAGCAGGCATTTTTGTACATTTTGACCAATCACTTGTTATTGGAGATGTGTAAGTTTTTGATACTATACAATAGTTGAATGTCAACTTTCAACATTCCTACCAGCTGTTTCTCACCTACTAATGATCTGGTTGGTGGTTGCAGTTCCTCCATTGGAGGCCACAAACTGTCTGATGTCGTCAACCAAAGCTAAGTCCTTGTCTCTGGCGTCCACTGATCCATTCAGTTTCTTCATGCGTGCTAGGATTTCACTAGAACTCAAAGCACCAAGCTGTGTTTTCGTGTTTCCAAACCGTTTCCTGAAAAATACACCAGTTACTTAATTTAGTACTGTCAATCCATATAATTAGTACGCTACATGAAACTTTGTCGGTTGAACTCCTCCGCCATTTCTTAACTGATTTTATCCATTGACGTCACATTGGAAAGAACGTGTCGTGTAGATTTGCAAACTGGCCTTACATTTTTGAAAAAGTCCCTTGGGCTCTGCCCCAGTGGCTTTTAAAGTTTCCATGTTATCCTTATGGAGAATATAAATGTTTACATTTGGATCAGCTGTATAATTTAATTGCTGTTATCTAAATATCTATCCATCTATCTAGCTATATAATTAATACGCTACATGAAACTTTGTCGGTTGAACTCCTCCGCCATTTCTTAACCGATTTTATCCATTGACGTCTCATTGGAAAGAGCGTGTCGCGTAGATTTGCAAACTGGCCTTACATTTTTGAAAAAGTCCCTTGGGCTCTGCCCCAGTGGCTTTTAAAGTTTCCATGTTATCCTTATGGAGAATATAAATGTTTACATTTGGATCAGTTGTATAATTTAATTGCTGTTATCTAAATATCTATCTATCTATCTAGCTATATAATTAATACGCTACATGAAACTTTGTCGGTTGAACTCCTCCGCCATTTCTTAACCGATTTTATCCATTGACGTCTCATTGGAAAGAGCGTGTCGCGTAGATTTGCAAACTGGCCTTACATTTTTGAAAAAGTCCCTTGGGCTCTGCCCCAGTGGCTGTTAAAGTTCCCATGTTGTCCTTATGGAGAACATAATTGTTTACATTTTGATCAGCTATATAATTGAATTGCTGTTATTTATTTTTCAATTCAATGAAACGCACTGAGTACATTTATTTACTATTTGAGTTTGTGTAAACAAAACCCCCAAGATGGATCGTGTTAGTATGGTTGTATCTTAAATTTATGTATTCATCGTTGTTTTTTTTGTGTCGCTATGACGGATCGAGTTAACATGATTGTAACTGAAATTTGTGCATTTATCGTCGTTTTGTGTAGCTATAATTTATTATTTGTTGTTTTTTTCTTTTAAATGTCTCCGACGTGACAACAACGAAACATAGACAAGAGGCGTAATCGTGATAACGACCGCAGCTACAGAACAGTGGCGCGTAATAGGCTTAACTCATCACAGTCAGCACCTGACCCTGGACAATCTCAACTATTAGGTTACAAATGCACCCTTTAACACAACCCCGAAACGACTTTTCGTTCTCAATTGGCCCTCTATCAATGACCTGTGTTGCCTGTACAGAGAGGCATTTGAGAAGGAGAAAACCGGCCGGAATGCTTTAGGTTTACAAGATATCAATAACAAAGATAAACATGGTCTGAGTTACACACCGGTAATCTTTGAGTTGACTCTTTGAAACTCATTGTAAATATGACTGTTATTCGTTTTGAAATAACTCCTGTAATACTTTGCAATTGCTCGAATTCGAGCAACATGTAAACTAGTGAAATTATGTTAAAATAGCAGTTTTGAGAACAGTGGAAATACCGCTAAAATAAGTGTCTTTTCTACTTTTTTAACACCATTTTATCGTGTTCTATTGTGATTTTTTGACCAGATTGTCTTAGTTACCTAAACCTAAATGTTTACAAATTCTACTTATTGCATATAGCAGTACATGGCTAATTTAGTTTTAAAAAAACCTCGGTCTGTTGCTGGTTTGTCAGATGTAGTATTAGCAAACAAATGTAGGATTTTAAGATTTACAGTAATAAGTACTTCACGTTCACCTAACAGAATAGTGTCCATAAGATTTGTATTTAAATGGAAGTTTTCCCGATACTAGCCGTCCTAAAAACATTGAAACCCACGACATGCAGCTTTACTTTTAATTTTTTCCCTGACACTTTTTTTAGGATTCTAGTATTTGTTGCTATCCAAAGTAAAAATCTAAATAATCAAGTGAAAATAATCTGATAATTAATTCAAACTCTAAAAAAAGTATACAGCTGTAGAAATAAGTAAAATTTACTTCATGAAGCACACAGTCGATGCAACCGCAACACAATTAACATGATATTCCCAGTAATGTTGTTCAAATGTTCTCCGTTAAGACCTTTACCTGCACAATGAATGTTGAATTGAGCATAGAAATAAACAGTTAGTAAATATCTCTGTCTCTCACTTGATAGGCTGGAAGTTTCTCGCTCCATTGACTCCTGTGAAGCTTGGCACCCCAGACGAGGCTCGCCAACATTCTCGCTGGGATTCCTTCAGCTTCTCTACCGCTTGCTTGGCTACCCTCTCGGCTTCCCCCTCCAACAGAGCGTAATCTGCAGGACCCCCTTCCATTATGGTGTCATGCTTCATAGCAGTCTGTAATCCTGAAAATAGTTGTTTTGTTGAGTTATTGTTAACAATGGCAAACTCAATATTTATAAATACTCTAAAATAAAATAAAAATTTAAATAGATTATTTATTGAACTAATGCTAAAACTCACCAGATTTTGAAAACAACTTTTGAAGAACATATTCATCCTGAGTCGCATAGGTCTTACTGTCTTCTTTTTCTTCTGATGTTGAAGCTTTAGAGGTCCCAGCTTTTACTAAATGCGGAACTTTTTCTCCTTCAAACTTTGCATCTTTTCGCTTCTTCTTTTCTTTGTGTTTACTCTTGTGTCTAGGAGATTTACTAAAACTAGTACTCGGAGTCACCAAATCAACTTTTGTTTCATCCTTCTTATTTTCATGATCAGTTGTGTTTGTTTTACTACAACATGCAGAATTTATTTTGTTCGGTTCACTTTGTTTATTTTCATGTGTCTTTTCAACAATCTTTTGACTCAACATTTGAGCAAGTTTTTTCATCTGATCAATTTTATCATCAGAAAAGTTTACGTCATTGTTGTTTTTAGCTGTTTCTTTTCTTTTAGAATTCTCTTGTTTTTCTTTTTCCATTTTCTGTTTCTTTTCTGCTTTCTTCCGAGAGAAAGTGAGAGCCGGAGCTTCGGCTGACAGTTTAGGTTCTTCTCTACGATGCTTGTACTTCTTTGTCGGATCAAGTTTTACCTGAAATATAAATTGCAGTTCACATTTAATTGCTAGTAGAATATATAAATTGCACAAAACTGTAACAAAATTAAATGAAATACACAAATTTTCTTCCAAAATTGAATTTATAATCAGTGCTAGGTTTTTGGCTACTCTTAAGGCTATTAAATTTCAAGGTATAATACTATTTTTATTTGATGATGGAATACTATTTATAAGTATTTTTCCAACATACAATTCACTTTTTGTTTTCACAAATAAAGCCAAAGTGATTTTACAAAAATGTAATCAAAATAATTGTTATTTTTACTATTGAGCGTAAGGGGAAATTGTTCACTATAAGATTCATCGTCTGTGTTTCGCCCATCACAGTCAAATGACTGGTTTAAAACCTATTGTCTACTCCATATCTAGGAGTCACACATACTCACATCAGTGCAAACCCCGTTTAACAGAGCCTACTTTTTGGATAACAGCTGCATACCACCTACTGGTGTTAATGGATCAAAGCAAAGCTTTATTTCTGACCAATTTTTATGGCTAAAGGTTTTCTGCTAAACAAAGCTCCTCACCTCTGAGTCGGTGCCGGCAAATATTGCCGCAGTCTCAGTGCTGCCATCTACATCCGTCTCCTTCAAGGTGAACAGCTCGTACAGATCGTTAGATTTGAAGAATCTTCTCTGCCTCGGATCCTTCAACACTTTGTTGACCAAAAACTGCTTGAAAACTTGTCTGTGGTACATCTGCAGAAAAAATATATACATAATTGCTTGGTGTGTTGTAAAGAGAAAGTAATAGAATATGTTGGAGACAAGCGATTAGGTTTTACAAAGATTTGCTGGGATAGCAGGCTTACCTGAATGGGGAAAGAGTCCATTCTAGCACTAGAAAGACAAAAAATGTACAAAAAAAATATATATAGTTTTTATATTATTATCCAAATTTTCCAACAAGGAAAATTTGAGCATGGAAGAAATATAAAACTTGACTTTTGAGCCAAAAAGCGTAGTAAAAAATTCATACTTTTTAAAAGATACATTTTAAACCTCTACACTTGTTAAGAGAACTTAGATATAAAAATACTACATACCAGCTTGGGAGCTTGGGAATTGATTTAGTAATTATTGTTTTAGGTGTTATGTACAATAAAGCTTTGTCTATTGTCTAATGACTTTGACTGGGTTATGTAGTGTATTAGGCTGTGGAGTATCAATGCCAGTTTTTCAACTAAAATAAAATAAAAACTAAGATAAACATTTTAACTAAAGAAATTATTCAAATTTTAAAATTAAGCACGGTCAACTTAAAAAGGTAACCTCTTAAACATGTTGATTGCCTTCCTCAAACAACTTAAACTCGAACATCTAAATCACTGCATAAATTATTAAACATTTTGCTCAGTTTGTATTTATTTACCTTTTCCTCTATCGTCCCCGCGGTGATGAGCCGATACACAGTGACACTCCGTTGTTGACCAATCCTCCAGGCTCTCTCTCTCGCCTGGGTGTCTGTCGCTGGGTTCCAGTCCGGGTCGTATATCACCACCCGGTCAGCACCCGTCAGGTTCACTCCCAACCCGCCCACCCGGGTAGTCAGTATCATCACAAAGTATGAAGAATCCTGTCGGATACAAAAAATTGTTGTAACAAGCATGAGAAAACGTTCCTTACAATAACATTTTTAAACACTCCTGATATGAAACTAAGAATAATGATTTGATGAGAAGGTTTTAATGTAAGAAAATCTTTGCTTAGCATTTGAATAGGTAAATAGACAAAAATATAGAAATTGAATAAATGTTTGGCATAAAGTTACAAAGTCTTTGGCTGTAGTTTATATTATATAATGGTACCTACGATATTGTTGGTCCATAAGATATACAGTATGTCATCACTGCTAATTTCTACTTGTTAGTAAAATTATCATCATGTCAACTATACAAGTGTCCAATCTTGTTTCTTGTACATCTACATTTGAATAAGATGTTTTTTCAGTTTTTTGATTAAAATATTAGCATAATCAACAGAAATCAGTAATTTCAGTATTTCACCCACACAAACTTTGTCGTTGACCCAATTTCACAACACACAATTTTACTCTAAAACTGGCTGAAGCGTACGGGAACGGTATGTATACCATCAATAATCAAAGATAACATCTAACTAGATAAAGAATGTACTGAAGTTACCCCGACCTGATTGAACTTGTTGATCAACGGCTGCCTCGCTGCTATGGAAGTTCCGCCGTCCAGTTTCAAGTACTTGTAGTCTTGTTCTCTCACAAACCTCTCCATGATGGATAACATTTGTCGGCTTTGAGTAAACAACAGCACTCGATGGCCTTGGCGCTTCCATATCTTCAGCAGCGTCTCTACCACGATCATCTTACCTGTGACAGTTGACAGTTACAATTTGTGAGTACTTTGGACAAACTAGTTGTACTAATCCTTTGTGTACTCAGAAAACAATTAACTTGTAAATTTAGTTGTGTTGGATTTTTCTGATAGGCCTACATCCTATTTTTCCTACTCAGAAACATTCACCCAATAAAAACTTTTACGGTATATTTAGAGTACAAAGAATTGACTCCTGAAAGTTGTTCGTTTGATCCTGAGACGTCAGAAATTTTTGATTGTTTGTAATTAGACCCAGCTACACTAAGCATCACACTATATTCTTCACTTAATCCTTCATTCTTATTAGGTTTACAATATTCCCAGTAGTCTCAGAGCCGGCTTTGGGTAGTGCGGGGCCCAGTGCAAACAATCGGAGCCTTTACTGCCAATAAAGTAGTATCAGAACAATAGTGACTAACAAACGTCTTAATGAATAATATTAGCATTTACACTCCCCTTTTTCTATATCATTGACGTAATTAATGTATAATCAACAGAATTGATCCGATTTCTTGAATTTGCACCCAAGCACGGGGCCCTTTCACACATGCCTCTGTACAGTCTCCATAATAGTTAGTAACATAATATTCTTAGTTACGTCCTCACCTTAATTGGTAACATAATGTAATAGTTGACTGTGGCTGTTGTGTTGTCTCACCTGACTTGGACCAGTGGCCGTACCTATCCTCCTCTGCCAAGTCCTCTTCCCTCTGGTCATCAAACAGTTTGGTCCCTCCAGAGTACAGGTCCGGGTGGTTGCAGATCTTACGTAGATTGATCAGACCCATGAAAATCTTCAGCCGACCTTCCAGAATCCTACTCACTTCTCCTGATTCTACGTAATCCTGAAACATTACAATAACCCTTGAGTAGTTGACTAAGTAAGCTTTTGATCCAACATTTAAGAAGACACTGTAAACTGTAAATACCTCAAAATTAATTTTTATTGTTAATTAGTTTTATGTGCTGTGGTAATCAAACATTGAAATTTACCATTTCATCAAATCTTGGTTATAGCTCGTCTGTAGTGTAAGCCATAGCTTACGCTGTGCGTCAGGTGATGTAATGGGGAAGTAGCAAGGAATTATACTAAACTTTCTAATCATCGTAGTTCCTTGATATACATTGTAAATAACTTAACTGAATTGTTGGTCACATCTGGATTTGACATTTCTGGAGAACTGACTGTTGAGAAGCAAATGTAAAGAAATAAATTCACTATAGAGACAAACTTAAGACATCACAGTTACACTTTCTAACAGCTAATGTCAAAATAACATATCATTAACGTATACGTATATGTAATAACGTATCATTAAACAACCAAAACAGTTTATAAGATAACAAAATATAAAGTTTCTTTTGTTTACCAAACATTCACCCTCTGATGCAACCAATCCTAATGAACAAAATTTTGATTACACAACGACCATCAGGTTAAGGAAATGTTCTTTCAACCTTTTAAGTGGCTAATAACGTTATTTATTAAGTGTTCAATAGTTGAGCAATTAGAATAGTTTATTTGGATCAGACTGTTTTATTATATAACATTGCTATTTTGCTCCTTAGTTAATTAACTTGTTAAGATTGTAAAAAAAACAGAAATTAGGTGGACAGTATAATTCTACATCACATTACCTTGTAGTAATGCCGTTGTTCGTCAGTGAGTCGACAGAACAACACCTGTTCATTTTTCTCTGGTAGTTTGACGTGGCTTTTTACATCGGCCTTCATCCTCCGCAACAGATACGGAGCGATCGTATCTTTCAGCACTGACGCACACTTGTATGCTGTCATCACCTACCAACGATCAGCCGTTAGTATGTTAAACAATGACCAAGGCCTAACTTAAGTTTGAGTTACGCTAAAAACATCACTTCATACCAATTTGTATAATTAATAGTTGTATAATGTTGCAAACTCCAGAAAAAAACGGATTACTGTAATTTTTATTTTCTTAATTTCAAACGCTTGTTATTTCGAAATTTAAATTGATAAAGTAGATATTTCTTCAATAATAGCTCCCTACTACCTTAGACGGATCTGCTTAATAACATGGAGATTAAACAAATTTAAATTACGATTTGATTTAATTGATTGCTAAGGGAGGTACATTTATCATTGTAAATAAAAGCCTTCCTTCCAATATAGTTAAAAACTGGTTAGGCATTTACACAATTTTTGTTACCATTCAAATTTATAATGAGTGAAGACTTGAATCATACCTCATTCTTTATTCAAATACCCAGAATCATATAAATACCAAGATAATGCAATACCTGAACTTGTGAAGCGTTTGCATAACCACCCTGGGTGATCGGAATGGCAAACTGTTCCAGAAAAACGGGAAGGGTTCCCAGTTTTCCTGGGAACACAAAGTCCAAAAGGGACCAAAGTTCCCGTAGGTTGTTTTGCATGGGAGATCCAGACAGGATAATACGATGACTCGTTCTCAGCTGTTTGACGACCAAAGTAATCTGTAACAGAAGAGAACTTCAATCATCCAGTGTAATGAGTTCAATGTTTGTTCTTGCACCAACACCAAACACCATTAATAAATATCTATTCATTAGTCCATCCATAGGTTATTGGCGATGGCAATAATTCTGCATTTTCTAGTCCCATACAAAATTTACGTGTACAATTCAGAGACTTTTACCGGGTCATCAAAATAAAAGTACTAATCCTTGGTTTTCCAAGTTTGCCAGTCAGTTGGCCCTTCTGATCAGTATTTCAAAATACATAGCTTTGTTTTTCATTTAAATACAATAACCATTTCCCTTAACATTTGAGTAAAATTAACGGGATAAGAAATTCAACAGGACTGTGGTGTACTTAAAAATTTAAATTATAATGAATTAGAGGTGTGTTTTAAATATATTTTAATTTAATTTTCACGCAGAGCCAATGCTCGAAAATACTGATAAGAGACTTCTGAGAACCTAAGTTTATAGATGAACGGGCAGGAGATAGGAGAGTATTTAGAACAATCACTATGTCACTATGTAATCCAAAATTTTTCAATGAATAAAACAAATGAATACTTTTTAATACATTTTTTCAGTAATATTTGTAGTTAGGCTATCAAATAACCATGTTAAAAAAACTGGATCAAAAAGCACCAATAAATTATTTCTCTTTTAAAAACTTTCAAAAACTCTAAAGAGATTAACTTTATTTCCTACCTGGGCGTCTGGGTTCCTTATCTTGTGACCTTCGTCCAGTACCACATAGTGCCAGTTGCGCCGGAGGATTTCATCCTTGTGTTGTGTTGCGCCAGCGTAGGAAGTGATTAGAACTCCTGACGCAGTGGCCATGTTGGAAATCAGACGATGGTGCTTGCCTGTAGGCAACATCTTGTAATTAAAGTCAGTTTATGACATGATCGATAATTTTTTTAGATAAATGATTAAGACATATGTTATAAACTAATGTAAAAGAAATTGTTCATGGCTGATTCACCTGAAAATCCATGAGATTAACTATTCACTCTTTAGTGGCTATGGTATTGTTAAAATTATGTCAATGAACAACTTGCAGTAGGGTTGTGGATTAAAAAACCACATTAAGTTTCAGCTAAACTTGAATCAACATTGAGTGGCACCTCATTAGGCCTTCAATAATGATAAATATCAGTAGATTACACATACAAAAGAAAATATGAGAGAAATTAAAATTTAAATTGAGGATTTCAAAAACAAGAATGAAAAACTTGAAGCACTAATAATCAAACACACAACACAACAAATAAAAAACAAACAAAGGACAGGAAGATTTTATTTGAAAACAGGATGAACACTGACAAGATGAAAATTGTTAATATTAGTGATAAATAAAAACAGAAGACATGAAAAAAGAAAAACTCTCCCCATTCCTCTTGAGTGGTCCAATGTTGTCCATAAAATGAAAATTAATAAATAAATAACAAGGAGTAAAAAAATTAGAGGGGTCTGTATCTTAACTCAGTACTAAATAGCAATCATTTTTGTTCAACGGCCGAGAGAACCCACTTCTAATGAGGTTATTTAATTGTGCGATGCATTTTCAAATGACCATATCATACTGGGTTGAAATAGAGACCTCTAGTTTACCTGTGAATGTGCCTGACTCATGCAGGATTGCCACCCTTATAGCAGGATACCAGGAGTGAAACTCCTTAACCCATTGGTGCATCACGGTGACAGGACATACAATCAGAGTCGGACCAAGACCTCGGTAGCTAAACAGAACATTAACAAGACTAGATTATAAAATTGAGGAAGAACAATTCATTGAACAAAATCTACAAACCATAGTAAGCCTATAATGATATCAATGAGACTCTAAATGTGTTTGGTATCACATATGCCCAACTCGGATATCATTACACATTAACAATTTCAAACAGGAAATGTTACAATATTCGCTCAAGATGATTACGTAAATGTTTAACCTATCCAAAGGTTATAGGAGGTTAACAGCACTGTGCCACAAGGAACAAGCAATTTTAGACATTTTGATGCTGCTAATATTTATTTACTTTAAACTAATGCCATTTTCATATGGTCGAAGATTCAGTTCAGAAGACAGATGAACTTTTTTACTGACCAAAATAGTGTACGTATTGTGGTACTTGGACGCAATGCTACAGTCGTACATTTTATACAAAATTTTTTTGCTGATAATAAATTGATAATGTCTATGACAAGCAGTCAATTTCATACGTGCTGAAGGAAACATAGGATACTGCCTACTGACATTAGTCCGCACATGGTGAGGATGGCAGACATATAACAACAACAAAATTGTAAAACTGAAACTCTATAAATGGTTTTCTGTTTCTGAAAATAAGTTTAAATTCAAAGGCACTTTGTCAAATGTAGACTAAGTACTCTGTCAAGAAGAGGCTACACTTGAAAAAGTTTCTCTTTCTCTACACTTGACAAAGTCCTCCAGGGGATGAATTATTGTGTATTTCTGAACATTCCGTGTGTCCTATGGCCTACTTGTACTTCTTCCAAGGTAATCTAGCTGTTATCCCTTATATCCTACAAGTCATTAATGAGAGATATAACAACTTATACACATTCATACCCTGTATCCCGGTCCTTCATCTGGCTCACGTCAAGACCAGCAAGGAAGGCGATCAGCTGTATAGTTTTCCCGAGCCCCATCTCGTCTCCTAGTATTCCTCCACAACGTTGTCGATCCAGCTCCCACAACCAGCGAACTCCCACTCTTTGATAGCTGTGAAATCGAACGTTAAAGTCCAACATAACCTTGTGTATCTTATTTTACAAAATTTAGAAAATTCTTCAGGATGTTACAAGATGGCTAATATAGTTAGAGCATGGGACTACATTGTCCTTGAGGTCCAGGTTCAATCCCTCTATCAGCAATGGGTTTTTAGCCATGTAAGAATATTGTGACCCAGTATTTTGGAGCTCACCATGAGCTGCAGGTTTGCCAAAAAAGAAAATAAAAAGAATATTTCACTTAGCCGAAGAGAATCTTCTCTAAAATAGAAAACTCATCCTCAAAAAAAAATTTTTTTTTAATTCCAAAATATTAAATATTTTTTTACTAAGGTACATGTAGACTTATATAGTGTAGATTTTATTGTTTTGTTAAACTCATAAAATGTTTATATATTTCTTTGTTATTTATCAGAAATGTTATAACTGTTAAAATAAAAATGTATTGAATTGTATAGCTGCTATTTTTATTTATTTAAGGTTTAATAATTTTTACCTGTATCAATTTTTTGTAATGGTCCTGGCCGTTGGGATGGAAATAAAATATAAAATAAAGCCATTTAATAAAAACTTAGGCCCAAAACAGTGAAAAAGTCATTCATTCCGTAAACACTATGAAATATTTAAATCAACATTTTCTTTTAAACTGGTTAAGTATTATTACTTGCCAATTATACTTTAACAGAAAACCCATATTACACAAAATCCTGAAACTTCTTTAAGTACTAGTAGGTATATTTCATGGGAGGTTTTTCATTGACATACAAGTTGGACTCAAATATAATAAGCTATAATAAGCTTGTTTGACATTGAATGAAACAATTAATTCTATTCTTCTCATTTCAGTCTTTGAATGATTACAATACAAATACAATGTTTACAAGTCTGTAGAGACTTGAATTATTCAAATAAAAGTAACTGAGAAGTATAATTTGTAGATTATTTCATCCTGAAGATTCAGGTGTTACCACAAACCATGTATTTGGTAGGCAAAATATGCATAACTGATATTTAACTTAGCAATGGTGAGTGAAAATTTAGAAACGTACGTTATCAAGAAAAGAACTTTATAATTTTTTTTTTCAAAAAGTTTTTTATTTCATTGACATTTGAAGTTTCATAAAATGTCCATGGTAACACAATATCTTTGGTGGTTTTTTATTAATATAGCATCTTTAAAGAAAAAAAAAGTTCTGTCCCGACCATAACAGACGTAAAAATTAACATAAAAAATAGTTAATGTTATTTTTTTAAATATGTTTTGCTGTAAATACATTTAGTTTAGTTTTAGGGCCATTTTGTAATGAACAGCTCATTAAGCATTTGATAAATTTAAACTTTCTAAACAAATCAAAAACAAAAAAATTAAAAAGCTAAAAAGATTTTTGTGAGTATAAAACATTAGAACAATAGTATATATACATTTTGTTTTTTTTTTTATGATCCAAATCATGAACGTTATGGTCAGGGACAAGTGTTATGATCTGAAATTGGCGAATAATGAGAATCACCGGTCGTGAATGGTTTGACTAAATATTTTGTTTACCTATATTATTAGAGGTAAAATAATTAAAAGCCGTTTTTATTAAAATTTTATTCAATAAACTAAACTTAGAAAAAATATAAACCTGTGGTAAACTGTTTAAGGAAACCAGAAACTAATTAATTATAAAAGAACTAAATCGAAAAGTAAACAAATTAAACCTCAGAAAATCTTAATAGTATTAATAGTACAATAATTGTATAGTAATAATTTTGTATAATAATTATTGTATAGTAATAATTGTATAATAATAATTGTATATAATGGTTGTATAATAATAATTGTATGGTATAATAAATAAAAACTTAAATACATCAACTCGATAAAAACCAAAAAGGAAACAGATTTTACATTAGGTAAATTTTAAATAATTTGCTAACTACAGTACTGTCAAGTTAATAAAAGGGAAAAATCGCCATTTCAAAAAGTACGCTAAAAAACAATTACATTCAAATAATATTAATAAGGTGGATTCTGGATTGCGTCTTTTTAACCCTCCATCATTTTCAAACGTGATAAGTACAACAAACTTAGTCTACATATGAGTAAGTTGAACGTAAATTATCAAATTGCTCAGCCCCTTTGAATTTATAAAGCCTTGACGTGACTTTGATAGGGTTCTTCAGCCGGCATAGCACTCCTTCTTTTTGTCGAGCATTTGTTTGTCTGGCTTTGAAGGCCACATAAAGAATGTGAAAGATTTTCACATGAAATATCTTTCCAGAAGTTGGTCATCTATGTTTTGTACCTCCCCAGGATACCAAGTGTCTCCGTAGATAGCCACGATTCATCTGCCAATCTGAATTGTTTGGGTGACCATAACTGCCTCTACTTTAGTTACATTAAGGAAGTACACCACTTAGTTATTACAGAATAGTAGTTTACGCAAAGATCGCATAGAGATAGTGTTAACTACACAAGTTGAAAATTTAAGGTACAAGCCTTGGCAAGTGCCTTAAAAACTGAGTGTGGAAGCAAAAAAAAACTAAATGAAGCATAACAGCTGTGATTAAAATAAGCTGACAAAATGTAAAAAGAAAGTTTGCTCATTCACTTAAGCTTATGAAAAAAAATAGCTTTTAAACGTTAGGGTATATGGCAAAATAATGCATTGAAAAGGATACTGCCATTATTAATCACTTGATTTATTTCCGCTGGTTCCGATGTGGATGGATCTTTATTGACCATTACCTATAATCTGTGTTGTATCTTTGGAGGATATTGTATCTGAAAAGATTGGTCAAGAAAAATACAAAAACATATTGTATTGACTCGCCTTAGGCTCGCTAGGGCCTCCACCCCATGCCCCCTTTTAACTGTAGCCGTGATGACAAATAGTCAAAAATATTAGTAAGATATTCAAATAATTATTGTGAAACAATTCATTGCTTTTCTGTAAGCTCGAGCTGTACAAGATTTATCTAAATCTTTGTAAAAAACCTAATGTAATTAGCATTAAATGTATTTTAGTAGTTAAGAGTACTGCCAATTTTTGCTAATAAAAAGTTGTGCTTTACCTGTTAACAGCGACTACATTTAATAATGTAACTATGTAAATAAAACAATGATAATCAATTAATACAGTTAGAAAAAGAATGGATATATATATATATATACTAATAGGGTTTGTCATAAAAGGATACCACCACTGCATTCTTGGTCGAACATTCCGGACTCTAGTGCATAGTGTGGACAGCGTAAGCTTGCAGTGCATAATTAGCATGATAGCATTCTGGTCCCAAGTTGGGGGTTTGGACTAGACCACGTCATCTGATGGATTTTCATAGTGCTTGGTATAGCCTCGAGGTCTGCTGGAATAGTTGGAGATTTTTAAACTGTCTACACTCCATGTTTTGACTTTAAGGAAAGATACAGATTGTTGAAAAGTTTCAACAATGATAATATCGTTTTGTTTTAAAAAACAGAATCTTGTTCTTTTACGATTCCTCCTATGGCGTCTGCAGGCCCTTTGCCATGTTCAGCCTCGCTGAAGTTCCACAACAGGTTCCAGAAGTTGTGACTCAGAAGCTCTCTTCGATATTAGATCAAAGTTTTCCTTGTTCCTATTTTGTGTTGTCGGTTCATCGGAGAAGAAATGTAAAATAACAACTGAAGATATTTTTCTTTTACAAATTCCAGGACTGGTGACAAGTTAGCCCAGATTGCTGATGGCCCGTGGTATGGGTTATCGGAAATTATACAGAATGAAAATCTTCCAAGTTTTTCTTCCCCTTCAGAAGTGTACAGGACTCCAGTATGTAAGGAAATATGCTGCTAGGAACCGCCAAAATGCATGCTTTGTATTTCTTTGCCATACCTTCACGCATATTCTCACTCCAGTCTATTCTTACAATAGCTTCATTTGCCATTAAAATTGTCTTGCAGTCTTTAAAAAACTTTCTTTGGTGGAAGCGGTTGTACACATGAATGCAAAATTTAACTTCGTCTAACAGTTCAAGTTCTGAGGTTCGTACTTTTTCTTTTAAGACGATTATACTTGTTTTCCCTTTAACTTTGTTTTTGTTTTCTGTTCCCTCATTATTAATTTTCAATCCTTTCTGTTGACGCTTTTCAATTTTTCGTCTTTCCTATACCAAGTATGACATGTCATGTTAGAAATTTTCCAAATTGATGTATTCTTTGCCGATTTTTTGTTTGTTTTGCATTTCTTGCATTCACCGTACATACATTTTCATGAACTTACAATTAATGCTTGAGAGAGCCTTTTCTGTGGAGTTTAAGTTCAATATCTTGTCTAAACAACAGCTTTAACATGAGCTCGAAGTTTGTGTGTTTACACATTTGAAAGTGTCCCTGGCGCTTTCCTTGGGGGCCATGATCCAAAATGGTTTCAGTTTTCTAAAATGTGAGTAACTAATCTCCTTGACAAACTTGGCATGGAGCTTACATTATACATTATAACATAACTTACATTACAGCCAAAGAGGAACCTCTTTTGTTTCTTAACATTCTTTCTTGTAATAGTCTGTCTTTTACCAGGGGTTTGGACAAAGTTGCTATCATCTTTGTCAAATGTTTGTACTGCACTCCTTATTCTCTCCATTCTAACAATCCTGTTGTTTCTTTTTTTTCTAGCTAGGTCTTTTTATTAGTAGTATTTTTTTTTACCTCTCCCTTCATTTGACTTTGGGTTGACTACAGCATCGTTCAATAGTCCCGGTTGAGACGACTGCAGAGGTGTGTTATTGTCATTGAAATACAACAAATTTTTCCTCATTCAATATTCCTCTTTGTTTTTTCTTTTTTTTCCTCCACACCTCTCGTTGAGCTTCCCTTTCTTTCTTTGTCATTTCAGATATTTTTTTTATTTTGCCCTCCTGTCTTCGCCTCCTACTCCTATCTCTCTCTTGTAATCGCCGTTGTAAATATAGTTCAGGATTATTTTTTATTCGCTCTCGGCACGCTTTTGCTCTTTCACGATTTTTCCTTCGTTCTTCTTCTTCTTTTTGTCTCAAGTTTAATGCTGTTCGTTTTTTATTTTTCTTGGGTTTTTTTGCTAATTTAACACCTTCTTCTTGACTTGTTTTGTTCTTTGCAGTATGTACAATACATGGATTATCATTCGTGGCTGGAGATGTTGTTTTCTGTTTTCCAAATAATTCTCTTTCTTCTTTTAGTTTTCGTAACTCTTCTTCAAGTTTTTCTCTTTCGGCTTCAATCTTTTTCTTTTTATTTTCGATTTCTTTAATTTTTCTTTCTAGTTCTATTTCTTTTTTTTCTTTTCTAAGCCGCGCTTTCTCAATGCTCCGCTCTTTTTCCCTCTGAGCAGATCTGATCAAACCCTCTTCATTCATCATCAACCTATTCCTAAATTCAGCCTCTTCCTCTTCATCCATCCTAAAATAAACATAATAAACTAAAGATATCTAAATATTTTTGTTAAATAAATATCTTTTTCCTACAGTGACCTGACAACATTAAGTTGCTAACTGATGCATCTACTTACTTTTGCCGCACACTTTTTACTTTTGCCGTACGGTACAGTTTTTTTTTTTTTTTTTTTTTTTTTTTTTGCCACATACCAGTATCCAACCAAACATCACAAAAGAGCGTGCTTTTATTGGGCAGGTAATATGTGTGCGCTTGAAAATAAGTTGGCAAAACTTAAAAATATTACTACGAATATCTGGTGTAGCTTTTTCCATTTCGATAAATGTTTGGATTTAATCTACCCTAAAAACATGCTGTACAGTGTTTGAAAGACTAATTATTTATATGCTTTATAGTAACTGTAGGAAAAATATAATGTGTAACGTGAGTGCAAACTGTCTTTGCTGCACTCGAGAAACTTCCCACACTCACCTACGGCTTGTGCATAAAGATTTCTCTTGTGTGCAGCAAAATTCCACTTCGCCCACTAGTTACACAAATAACTACTGTAATAAAGAACTGAAAATATATATTAAAAACGTTTTGTTTACGGTAAAAATTTAAAAATTATAAAAGCCTAACAACACCCGTTGGGGTGTGTTGCTAGACTAACGGTTAGCGTGTTGGACTTCAGTTCAAGAGGTCAAGGGTTCAATCCCCGGCACGCCGACAAAAATTTCAGGGGTTTGTATTTAGGTAAAAATAGCAAGTGTAGGCCCAAAACGAGGTCCCGGCATTCTGAACCACAACGGACGAGGAATTCGCTCGACACGTGCAGAAGAAGGAGGTGAGCACTGCCGCAACTGATAACGCAGGCAAGGGTGGGGAGGAGGGAGAAGGACAGAACGATTAAATTTCACACGGCGCTGCGCAGCTCATCGCTATCATGTTCATTGTCTGCTGGGCTGAGAGGCAGACTGCTTCCCTATTGCATGATAAAATTGCACTTCCAAAACTGGATATAGGCCTACTATTATTTAAAACAAATTGGCTGCAAAAACTTGTAATTAAGGAATGTTTCTGTTTATTTCTCAATTACCATTATTATTAGTGTTTCAGATACAACGTAGAAAAAATAAATTCACTTTATTGTTTATTTAGGTTTTCATACCACTACTTATTCTTATAATACTCGACAACACTTAAATCATAATTTATTTTTAAAACAGAATAGTTTTATATATTATGTAAGCGATACCTTATATAAGATAATAAAAATACCTGTCAATGTAAACATAGTTCAAAATCTAAAAACTTTTTTACATCCTTCAATTGTACTGTTATAAAAAACACGTGTGTTGCAATTAAACTAAGCTGTGCAAATTACAATGATATTTAAATTTATTTTCACGAATATAACACGGTATAATCAATAAGACTATTTTGGTCGTGAAAAACCTTTGATGGTTGTTATACCCCTGTTGTGAAATCACGTATCATTTTGCTCTGATCTGGTGGCAGCCCTACACCTCAACCCTGCACCCATAAAAAATTAACACCATGTCTACTTCTTTAAATGACGTACTGTCGTAAGCAGACCAAAATGACAAAAAGCACAAACTTGCCTAAAATATTAAAGTTAGGCCTAATCTTGTAGGTCCTTTTTTTACTATAGAACCAACGGCACAGCAAAACTAAGGCACATCGCGAACCAGTCTCTAAAAACAACTAACGCTATCGCCGCCAGGCTTACTACTGTCGTTTTCCATATTTTGCTATTATGGTCGGGACGTCAAATCAAGGGACAAGGGACAAACTTATTATATGCTCTTTTTTCATAAATTGTATAACTTTATGACATAAAAATATGACATTATATATCTCAGCATGAATAAACAGTCTAAAAGTTGCGTGAAAGTTGAAAAGTGTACCCTAGGAACACAGGGCGGTCGTGAATTTTGAGACTTTTAAAAATACAAAAAAAAAAACCTAGAACCGTTTTAAAACCAAATAAATGTTTTTAACATGTTGCCCCTGTCCCAAACAATATTAAAACATATAAAAATATACTACAAATAAGTTACAGTATCTATGAAATTAAAGGCCATGGACATTAAAACGTACGTTTCAAAATTTTCACTCTGGTAACTGTATTAATTGAAGAACTCTCTTTGCTAAGACAAAAATTAACACAATAGCAACAAATTTAAACTACAACGTTATTATTCTTACTTGTACAGTTTCTCCCAGATTTCCGACGGCAGTTTATATCCTCCATCAAACTCCTCGAACTTTTCTTCTTCTTCATCTCCTCTTTTCTGTTTCTCCCTCTCCCATTGTCTGATTCGTCGATTATACATATCCACATCTCCATCGTCCAGCTCTTTCTTAGCTGCGAAAATTCAATGAAAATAAAGAAAAAAAAATTGTTACTACATATTCTTAAAAACCAGGTAAAAAAAGTTTGCATCGGATGTTGGGAACCTATCAAGGTTTTAATAAGTCACCTTCGAACAAATTATGGTATAAGTAAATAAATACAATTACAAAATATTGCCTACATTGAGAAAATGTAACATGTGTTTTCAATTAAGAATGTTCATAAAACAATTGTTACTAATACACTTGAACCAAACTTCAATTATGCAGAATTAACTTTATGTTGTGTGAAATAAGTGGGATTTGAGAAGGATTTTGTGCAAATGCTTCGCACGGGTCGGCTAGATTTATTATAAATGGTCCCATTTGTTTTTTCTGATTTTTAACATATTTTATTGTTTGGATTCCGCAGGAAAGCTTCAACTACTTACAGCGTTTGTTGGTTTTTACGTTTCCCTCTTCGTCCGAATACTCCCAGTCCGAGTCGTCACTACACCAATCCTCGGGCAGCTTGTATGGTCTCACTTCTTTTCTCTTCCTCTTTCTAAAATTTGTAGGCCTTTCCTCTTTTACATTTTTGTTTATTCTTGTTTCATCTACAGGAAGAATAACATTAAAATTATGTTTATGTTGAAAGTGTAGATTTTGGAATGGAATAATTAGTTTGCATCACTGCATAGGCCTAACGCTAACACAGAAGCTAAGTGAGAAGTAGTCTTTCTTGATATTGCTGTATTGTTTCAGATATTGCTGGATAAAAACCAGCTGCCTTTACATCTAACACTGCAGTCTACACAGGCTTGCTTACTTCCATAACAGTATTTCAGTTTTTAAACCACAGACTACAATATCTGTGATGATATACGGTTAAGGTTTGAACATAATGTTTGAATCCCTTATTATATTGCCCTTGGTTAGCCTATTGCAGTAATCCTCAAAATATGGCAATTCATAAAGTAGTACCATAGCCTACTCTTATGCTAGGTCGCGGCGTTGGTGTGTGGGAATGTTGCACTTGCCGGCCTGTTGCCACAATAACAGTAATAACAAACGTGTAAACATAAACATTGCGCAGATGCTGAATTATTAGTAGCCTACAACAGCTGTTTCGTTGCCGGAACAGCTGTTTGCCACTTTTGTCCCGCCGCGGCCTTATATTAAACGAGGCTATGGTACTAGTAATTTCCTCAGATGTACTGCTAACTAAATTTAACTAGGGTGAATCAAGTTTGGTGATACGTTAAAATATAATTATGCATATCGAACCAAAATAAAGAAATATCTAAGGTTTGTTCAGAATTTAAATTTGCTTATTTTAATTAGTTGATTACTATTCACTTTCAACGTTCATACTAGAGGATTTTGATTTCACCAGTTCTTAAATCAACATTATTGAACAATTTACGAGCATGTAATTGAACTCAACACTCTTCCAGAAGAGTAGTGATAAGCAGTAAAATAATAAATCGCCACTATTTGTAAAGTAGATTTTTCATTAACAGACCCACAAGTTATGTTTATAATAAGAGGTCTTAGAACAAGGTCGCTCAAATCGGACCTGGTGTAGCTGTACTATCCACTTAATTCAATGGCTAGATAACAACTAAGGTGAAATAAGCCAATCAGGTTATAAAAAATTTGAACAAACATAATTTTAAAAATCTTACCTCCTGAGGAAGGTTCATATTCTGATTCCGTAGGAACGTATTCACTGCCAGATGCGTCATCAGGATTTACGTAAGATTGCTCTCCGGCCACAAGTCCTGGTTTATCAGTCCAAGGCACCGAATCTTCTGTTTCAGTACCTAAATGCTCCCTTTTCCTCTTTTTCCCCTTACTAACTTGCACTTTATTCTTTTGTTTGTGATTTATATTTTTTTCTACGGCTTTCACAGGTTTCTTGCCAATTTGCTGCTTCTTGGTCGCTTTACCTTTTCGTGTACCTTGCAGTTCCAACTGTCTTTTTAAGTACTTCTCGATCTCGCTTAGACCATCAATAGGTTTTCTAAAAAAAACCATAATAAAGATTACATAAACTGGAGAATAAAAATATTTAGGTCTACTTTCAAAATTTAAAGTTTTGCCATCACAAGACAGTTATACAGAGTGAAAATTAAGTCTTGAAACAAATCTGTATTTTTAAAACCGAACTAGATAAGAAATATTCTGTTTGTGGCAATAATTGTTAACAAAGATTCCGTAATTTTTTACATCAAAAATATTTTTTAACCCCCTAACAGGGTTGGGGGTAGTGGATGACTTATTTTTTTCAAAAAGCAACCCCTATTGAGTGACCCCTCATTTTGAAGGGTTTGTGAAAAGAAACACAATGACGCAAATCCGAGGTGAATATCTCACCCCTAGCCAAAATGGCAGGTATTCCAAAATGGATCTATCTATTTTGGTTTTAAAAATACAGATTTGTTTCAAGACTTAATATTGACACACTGTATAGTTTTGGTAATTGGAATCTCACTTGGAGGGGTTGATCATTAGGCTTTTGATTAATAAGTCCTGACTAAAGAGAGGTGATTTAGTCAGCTGCAACGTTTCGCATGTCATATCACTTCATTCTCACATGTTCAGTTTAAAAGTGGATAAATTCTGATCCTGTCTTAGTGAAGTGGTTAAGAAATCAAGTCACTGGTGGATTCTTAATATTCCTCTGGCTAAGCAAGCAGCTAGAAATGTTTGAGTTAGATACATTTTTCTCAAAAAATCATAAAGATTTTACATTTTCATCCCAACAAATCCTTGTATTTAACACAATAGTTTGCACAACCCTTGTCAGTTTGACTGATATCATCTTATAAACGTCTGACATAAGTGTGACTAAGCTATAGAAGTCATTTTTGTTTTCAAGCTTAGTAAATTTGTTTGCATCCTAATTTGTGTACTATATCCATCCAAGTAAATAATTACTTACTAGAACACAACTCTAACTTAACCCTAGCAGTGGCCAATGTTAGAAGTGTGGAATAGCCAACTTATTTTGGCGATTTTGCAGACCTTTTTATGAAAATTTGTAAAAAAATTCAACCGTAGAAGTAAACCTAGACAACATTTTATTCATTGTGTTTGGAAAGAACAGGAGAATCTAGAAATAGTAATATAATAATGATTTAGAAAGTGTTTTTTTTCTTTGGTAAAGTGAAAAAAATTATTTAAATTTCAAAAGCAGCTTGGGTAAAAATTTGTCTACAGATTTTTATGGGAAATTCATTATATACATTTTGTAGGCAAATCTAATTCTTTACATAGAAATATAAAATATGTTAGGAAAATTTTTTTTATCACTTTTGGGCAAAATATAATAACAAACGGAGAACCGAAAAAATTGAAAACCGTTCAGTGTTAGTTTTTGTTGTAAAAAAGAAAAAGGTTATATACCTAATATATGTATATACTAACTAGCTGTACCCGCGGGCTTTGCCCCGTTTAACTTCATAAGTGAGCTCGTTCGCATGCCTCAATCACGTCCAGCTTAGTTTTCCTATTTAATGCCTAAAGAATCGGTGTACCAAATTTCAGCCTCCTAGGTAAATGGGAAGTGGGAGAATTAGTGATGAGTGAGTGAGTCAGTGAGGGCTTTGCCTTTTATATATGTAGATGATACAAACATGCTTGTAAAGCTAATGAAGTAAGAGATAAAAAAAGTCATCCAGTTTTTTTTATAATTTTTTTTCCAATAAATGTGTGTATATAAAATAATGTTTTTATATTTTAGCGATTAAATGAAAAAAAAAATCACAGTATTTACTATACAACTTTTGTACCACATTTTTTTTACTTCAAACTCAAACCAACATGATAATATAATAAGCGGAAAACCGCAAAATAGTGTAAACTGTACAGTATATATGTATAAACTAATTAATAGTAAAATAGTAAAATAGTGTAAAACATTAAGTAATATATGTATAAACTAATGATGATATGTACATATTTGTAAAGCTAATGAAGTAAGGAATCCAAAAACAAAGTCATAAGTTTGATGGTAAAAAATTAATTTCAATTTGAGAACGTTTTGAATTGTTTGCGTATTTCAACAAAATACAGTGCACAGTATTTAGTATATAACTTGTTCACCAAATTGTTTCCCCCAAACCAATATAAACATGTTGTAGCGTATTCAATTACCTTAATAAAAATGTATAATAATAGGGTATATCTTTTTTTATGTGTTATGTAGAAATAAAAAAATGGTCGCAAACTTGGCAAATTTGTAAAAAGCATTATTTTTCATTGTGAGCTCTGTAATTTTTATAAACATAAATAATGCCATATTATATCTATATATTACTAACTGCATAACTCATAAACCTTGTAAAGCTAATGAAGTAAGAGATAAAAAAAGTCATACAGTTTTTTTTTAAATAATTTTTTCCCTATAAATGTGTGTAGGCCTATATAAAATAATGTTTTTATATTTTAGCAATTAAATGAAAAAAATCACAGTATTTACTATACAACTTTTGTACCCCATTTTTTGACTTCAAACTCAAACCAACATGATAATATAATAAGCGGAAAACCGCAAAATAGTGTAAACTGTACAGTATTAGTTTGTGTTGTAAAACATTAACTAATATATGTATAAACTAATGATTATATGTACATATTTGTAAAGCTAATGAAGTAAGGAATCCAAAAACAAAGTCATAAGTTTGATGGTAGAAAATTAATTTCAATTTGAGAACGTTTTGAATTGTTTGCGTATTTCAACAAAATACAGTGCACAGTATTTAGTATATAACTTGTTCACCAAATTGTTTCCCCCAAACCAATATAAACATGTTGTAGAGTATTCAATTACCTTAATAAAAATGTATAATAATAGGGTATATCTTTTTTTATGTGTTATGTAGAAAAAAAAAAATGGTCGCAAACTTGGCAAATTTGTAAAAAGCATTATTTGTTATTGTGAGCTCTGTCATTTTTTTAGCGAATTTCCCTATAGGGAAGTAGCTATTACCGTAGGTCTCATGGTAAGACCTAGGCCCGGGACCGATTTACTTTTTCATTTTGATGCCCCCAGAGGCCAAAAACACCATTCGTTCAAATTTTTATATATCTATATATAGAGATATATATATATATATATATGTGTCCATCCGCACGATAACTTGAGTAATTTTTTTCCGATTTTGATCAAATTTGGTTTGAAGGTGTAAGGCGGGATAAACTTGAACGAGTTCGCGAACCAGCATGATCGGACTATGGGAACGGGGGTTTACGGGGGGTTTTATGGGGTAAAAATAGGTTTTTCCCATTTTTTACCCAAAAAACATAAAATTTAGCAATTTCTTTCCAAACCATTTTGTAGACCTTAAAAAAACAAATAATTTAGTATATTGAAGTGTTACTATGCGCCTAATGGTTACGGAGAAAATTCCCAAAACATTTAAATTTTAAATTCCCATGTTATTCTTATGGAGAACAAGTAAACTGTTGTAGTTTGCTTGTTTATGAACATATTTTGATCAAATTTGGAAAATATTTTTATTTCTTACTAACTATTAACATTTTACAAAAAAAATAAGTTTTACCCTCCCTGATGCAGCAAACCTAAGTACCTGTTAAACTAATTCTATTTAAATAGGAAATAAATGTTCAATTTTTAAGTAGACATTTTAGTGTAAATCCAATCAGGCAAATGGAAATTCGCTTAGTCTGCAGGTTTGCTGCGGCGGGGGTATTTATAAACATAAATAATGCCATATTATATCTAAATGTTACTAACTGCAGGTATTTATAAACAATAAAATATATAAATGTTCATATACACAGTGTAGTGGCATATTATTTGTTTTTTCAATTCAATTCGTTTATTTACGGCAAAAGCCATGGTACAATAAATACCATTACATTTGGGAGATAACAAGCAATAATTAATACCAAATACAATAAGTGAACAAAAGATGCATACGAATAATAATACTACTAAATAGAGCGTACAAAAAATAAAGATAAGTAGCAAGTAGACTCTGAAGAAAAAGAAGCTAGCATTACAAGAAGACATGCAAGTGGATTTACAGGTAACATGCAAAAGGTACTGAAATGAGAAAAAAGATGCATACACAATAACAATGATATAGTGACAATATTAATAAATAGTGCATACAATAGTGAGTAAAAATCAGACCCTAAACAAACCAAAAAAAAAGAAAGAAGCTAGCATTACAAGAAAAAGTAACGAGCAAAGAGGTAGTTAACGAGCAAAGACATACAACTGAAATGAGACACAAGATGCATACACAAGGCGTATATAAGAGATAACATGCGATTGTTGGTCCAGTAACCATGTAGGAAAAATACAAAATTATTATTTTATATTATATCAGGCCTACTCAATAATGAAATACATCTTATATTACAATTTTAAAAGTAATAAAAATAAATGTAATTACTCACCCCTCCCCTAAACGTCCCTGTGTCGTCACCCTTCCCTCGATGTCCCCCGTGTCGTCGACTCTAGTTCCTCCCCCCGCGACGACGTTTCAAGACGCAAGGAATGTTCTTGTACATCTGGAACCGGCAGACGCCGTGAACCCCATTCTGGCATATGGTGCAGTATAATGACCCCCGTTGAGTGTTGTTTTTTCCTTGACTCTTGCACACAATACATATGCGCCTTCCATGGTTAGGCAGCGGAACGATGTTGTGGTTGTGGTTGTGCTGTGCAGGGTTGTCTCCACCTGGACCGACAGCGGGCGGACGGGGGAGAGGCACACCGGAGGTTGACAGTTGATCAATAACACTGATATTAAATTTTGACCTGGGCATAGGATTGTCATGCTGAGCCGCATACAAAATATATGCGTTCAGCAGAGCCATATCAATGAAATTGTAAACGATCTTCCTCCAGTACTTAGATGACGTTCGAGTGCAGGACATGTGATAATCACTTTTGTCTTTCGAATCGGCTCCACCCATAAATTCCTTGTACACCTTGACCGTCGCTGGTTTTACTGAGACACCTTTAGCTCCTCGACTGATAACTTTGACGTCTTGGGCATGCATACAGTTTGATATTAGGTGAACCGGTTTCCTGGTTTCACGCTCTTTGTACTTCACAAGAAGGACTGACGCCGAAGCATCAAACCTCCTCCTAAAATACAAAGTCTCACCAACTTGTAGCACTGTATCCAAGGCGACTTTTGAAAGATCCTTAGACCGCTTGTTGACCGTTCCTGTCAAAAAGGTGTTTCTCTGGCTCAACCAGCGGGCTAAGGCGATCTTTGTGTAGAAGTTATCAGTGAACAAATGATAACCTTTGTCCAGTAAACCAACTTTCCCCATCAGGTACGCAACAACTTTCTGAGTGAAGGGATCAGAACCAGAAGACAAAAAGTATTTACCAGAGTACAACACAGACTGAAGGACGTAACCCGTCTTGGAATCACACAACTCAAACTTTTTAATGCCAAACCGTGAGTGGTGTTTGTTTGGCATGTATTCTATGAAAGTTTTTCGGTTTTTCATACCCACGATACTTTCATCAATACATACGTTCTGATTTGGGATGAAATAAGTTTTAAAACTACCATTCATCATTTGAAGGAAATCACGAATCTTCACCCATGGATCATATCCTTTATGACCCTGGGGTGGAGAGACGCGAGATGACAAATGAAGCATGGATGTTATCAGCTGAAATCTTCTAAGAGTCATGGTTTGGCAGAAAAACGGAATATGAAGTGTACGATCGTTACTCCAATAGTCGGTGAGATTCTTCCGACGGGTTATTCCCATTGACAACAAAACAGCGATGTACTTCTTCATTTCGTCCACCGTGACGTCCACCCATCTGCGAAAACGGGATTGCGGGGACAATCCAGTTTTTCGTAGATGTTTGAGTTTCCTGCGGGCATACAGGTTTGTCTCATTGACAAACATGTCCCACATAGCCCCAGTGAAAAATAGGAAGAAGTACTGCAAAGGGTTTACAGATATTTCACAATTTGGTCCAGGATTATCAACTTTAAATTTGGAAATCACGTCCACTGGCGGCTCAGGCGGATAGATCCTGACCCACGGCGCTTCTAACGGCAGCTCTTGCAGTGGCGGAACTGGATCAGCTGCTGGTTCGAGATCAGGGGCTTCAACTTGACTGGCGGCTACCCTGGTGATTTTGGGTGGCGGGCCTGTGCCTATCTCTTGAAGGAGCGTCTCATCCGTCATGTACAGCCGTTTGGTGGACTTATTCTTAGGGGGCCTAGGCCTAGGCTGTTCAGGCATAGGGTCGTCACATTGCGGAGAGGGAGGCGAATCGGGGATCTCAGCTACACCGTACGGCCCTAGATTGTCCTCTCCATCGGTGGTGTCGAGTTCGTCTGAGTCGGGCTCATACTCTTCATCACTGCAGGAAAAGTCGCACAATTCTTCCACGTCACTTTCACATTCCACCATTTTAGATATTGCCTCATACAGTTCGTGCCTGTTAGTCCGTAGATTGTCCCTCAGTGGCGGTGGTGGATTATCAGAACGAGGAGGGGTGGAACAAGGTAGAACATCATCAACCGCCTCTTCGTCCTCACTAAAAGGTTCGATATCAAACCCGGAAGAACTCAAGTCTGTCTTCAACAAGCGGTTTATATCACACTGATATTTTCGTGGCATGATGCTAAAGAAAAATACAACCTTTTATAAACACTATTTCACACAATTCAGCATAGTTGGTAAAGTTAGAAAACAATTCTAACTAGTTAGAAGTTATGAGTTAGTTCCGTAAAAAGTAACTGATAGAAAAAAAAGAAAAAAAAATGTATACACTTACATAAAACAACTTTTCTAGTAAACAATAATATAACTTATACATTACTGTACAATTAAAAATAAAATAAAATATCTTAGTCCTGGACAACATAGAACCATCAGAATATAAGTTCTAAACACTTGTTAAGTTAAAGCAAATTAAATGTAATGTAATGACCCCTCAAAATAAAATATTTCTTACAATTAAAAAAAAATTAGCTGTTTGTTGGGCAGTTGTTTAAGTATTTTGTATGTAATTAAATAATGACACATCTTGGTAACTAATCTATACTATAATATGAGTGGTACCACCCGCAACATCCTAAGACAAAAATTACCAGAGCAGGGTAATGCCAAACAAGTTGTGTTTTGACAGTTCACAAAATGTCAGCTGCAAAAGTCGTGCCGTGACAAAATTTATTTGATTTCTAATCGTCGTGACATTGTTGTATACCTGCTACAGGGTTTGTTTATTAGGTATGTAATTACATGAAAGTTCAGAATGTGATCATTCGAATGGTAGGTATATGTATTGTTCACATCTGAGTTGATTTTAAGTGGTTTTTACAGTTAAAATTTCGGCCCATACCATTGCATTACGATGTTATGCCTTTGCCGTGATGCCTTTCTAGGCATCACGGCGAACGATCGTATTACGATTGTTGGCCACTGCTAGGGTTAAAGCGTTTATTACTATAGTATAAAATTAGTAATTAATGTTGTAATCCTCACATCTTTGCTCCACTCGAAGCTGAGTCTAGGGTTGTTCCGAAGGGTGTCATCTCACCAAGTCGTATCTTTCGTTCCATCTCCGTCTCTTTATCTGAAGGCTCAAGCAGCACTGACGTTTCATTTCTAAAAAACATGGATTTGTTCATGTAATTAGGGTATTTATTTTATTTTCACTTCAGCTCTCTTTAATACTTTACAGTGTCTAACTAGATCAATGAAACAATTAATCTAGTAAAATACAAATAAAATTTAATACAACAAAATCATGATAATTTTTAAATAGTTGAAAAAATACAGTAGGCCTTCTTTGGTATTGGCCGGAACACCAATCTTTACAGTGCACTGCGGCAGACCTAGGTTAGTTTTTCATTGTCATCTAATCCTCGCCATTCCCATTGTGTATAAACCATCTTTAGGGTCACTTAGGCTTAATCCCTAAAACCCAGTCAATGTTGGATTACTGAATTTTCAAGCCAGCACGACTATCATCAAAAAGTAATTATGTCACTTAATCTTTACAGATTTTTAATTGTTAGGCCGAGTAATAAATTAATTTTGTCACCTTTCTGCAATATCTACTGGTCTGCCTGGGGTGTCTGTATCCAAAGCTTCGTCCACTTGCTGCAATATTCCAGCTTCAAGGGTCGCTTGGTCGTAAACTGACAAACCCTCCAAGTTGTGAAGCTCGGCCGCCTAGAAACAGTTAACATCTGTCTATGTGTTTTTAACCTTTAAATCACTGTATAACGTTTTAACTTGACGAATAGAATAAAATTTACACTACATATTAAGTAGGCCATTAAAAAGTTTCAGCAATAAAATAATTTAATAATTAAACTAGAAAAATGTCTAGAACAGGCCCTATAAACGAGTTAACTAAAAAATCAAGAATCAACTGACATGCTGCACTTCTTTTTTACCTACCTTTTTCTATCAAATTAATATTTGTAGTACTCTCGATAACCTATACCCAGGCCATACCAAAATGCAGCCCAATACCAAAAATAGAAGCCTTAATCGTGTTTGAACTGCTTTGAAAAAAAGGCTGTTTATTACACTATTTTAGTGATGTAGTTTTAAGATAATAACTTACAAGATTTTTCTCGATTCATCGGTCAGTGCCCACCTAGGTTTCTGATTCATGTAGGCCTACTGTGATAATTTATGTTATGGTATAGAATGATTTTGCTTTATCTTTACAGACATTTGGACCTCAACAGTTTTCCCAGAGACTAAAATATTGCACACTTTATATGTTTAAATTGCTTAGTATGAAATAAAACGAAATCTCCTAGTTTGATAAAAATATATCCATAAACAAGCAAACTACAACTTTTTACAATATTCTCTAGAAGAATAATATGAGAATTTTAAATTTAAATTTTTTTTGAATTTTCGTAACCAATAATTGTACAAAAACACTTAGATATACTAAATTATTTGGATTTTTAAGCTCTATCATGGGCTAGAGAGAAATTGGGAAATTTTGTGTTAGGATATACTGTTTTGATAAATAAAGCAAAAGCAACTATTGTTTATTGTTTAATATCGAATTATGACAAACAGATTTTTTCAGTGGATAGAGTCCGAACTGGGGACGTGCAACCAGTGCTACAATTCCGGAGGTTGTATTTATTATAGTTGGGAAAGTTAGTCAAAATTTCTAACTAGTTAGAAGTTATAAGTTAGCCCCGTAAAAAGTAACTGAAAGAAGTTACTAGTTAGTTAGTTTAAAAAGTAACTGATAGAAGTTATTTTATTAGTTAGTTGAAAAACTAACTGAGAGATAATAAAGTTAGTTTTTGAATTTCGTATGATATAGCTGTTTGTTGGACAGTTGTTTTAAAGGATTTCATATGTAATGAAATAATGACACATCTTGGTTACTAATTGTGTTTTAATTAAATATTAATTAAACATTGTCACATTTGCATTACATTTTACATTCAGTACTAATTTACTTTAAATGCCTATTAAACTTTAAAAGAACTTGTTTTTCAAAATTGGTGTCGCTTCCTCGTCTATTAGTGATGACTAGACTTGCCGCACTGAACAGGCGTTCGCAGTGCGCTGATGATGGAACCGCTGTATTGAATTTTATGAAGAGGTTCTTGCAGAGTTCTGACATTTCTTTCACGTCTACTGAGTCATTGAGATAGTGTGCCAACTCAGATTCCGCCTTAGCCCTCTCCATCTGGGAACAGTCAGTGTTGCCGTTGGACTCTTTGGGTACGTCGATCACCGAAAAAAACTTGTCTATTTTAGCGTTCTTTGACTCTGGAGGAGCCTTGCTTCCTGCTGTTGTGGTTCTAGTGCAGGGCTCTTTTCTCACAGCCTTCAGGAACTCGTCAGACAGTGTGTTGCGGATGGTCTGTCTTTCTGCGAGATGTGGCACCCAGTTCAGCTTAAACCTAGGAATTAGGCAGGCGGCTATTTCGAACTCCTTGTTTTCAAAATACTTTGAGAACCTGAAAAAAATAATTATAAAAAAATTAATACATATTCATAATACATTATTTATCACAATTTGGTAGGCTACGTAAGAGAAAAACATAACAAAAATAAGTTAAACATCATAAGAGAGTGACAGTTGGTTCCTGTAGCAAGTTATTATAAAACTTGATCACATTTTACTTAAAATCATGTCATAATAACATGTTATTATTGTATTTATTTAATAAAATTGAATAAACACAATTGGTACCAGCAATATTAAAACAAGCATTTACCGTTTATCAAATCCTTTGAGAAGAGCATGTTTCAACGGTTCACACCACTGGAGTTCTGGCAGGGAAGTTAAAACAGATTTCACAACTGTGAGCGTTGGAAGAAGAAAGCCCATGTACATTTCTTTCTCACCCTGAAGAATGTCCAAAGCTTGGGCGATTGGCTCTATCACCTAGAGAAACATAAAATTATACGAATAAAAAATAGAATTTTGAACCTGTGAGTTATCACTCTTAATTCATAAAGTAAACATTAGAACACAATTTTATTTTGTTTATGCTTGTTTGTGAATTAATTCCTATTATATAAGACCAATAGACCATGTAAAGATTGAAATGTGATTGAAAATTTGTACACTAGTATAGTAATTAGTTTAATTTTTTTACACTTGGTGACGATTACTAACCTTACAGTATTCAGCAAGAAACTCAATTTCTTGAGGCCTTTTAAACATAGGGAGATCCAAGTCCTTGCATAGACTGTCCAGCTTATCTTCTGATTTTACAAGAAGCTCAATAGCGTCAAAATGGGAGTTCCACCTGAAAAAAACAGTACCATATGGGAGTTCCACCTGAAAAAAACAGTACCATTTATGGGCTTTGGAATGCAACTCGAAACTAGACATATTTCATATTTCTAATAGTGATGTTTCATTTAGTCTTGTTAATTAACCATTTTCCAGTAACACCTGATTAAAGTGGTTGTACCAAAAATGTTGGTCATTCCTTTAACAGTGCCGGATTTACCACTAGGCCGATTAGGCCGCGGCCTAGGGCCGCAAGCAAAAGGGGGCCGCAGAGGATTGAGAAAAACATTTTTTTAAATAAAAAAAAGTATTTTAAATCGTCAGTTTGCCGCAATTACAGGTGACCATTTATGATGTCTCTGCGTCCGAGGGAGATGTTCACGATTTTGCCACGGCCGTAGGTGCCGGTGATGAAGTCCCCGTGATTGCGGCCCGCGGGAGACAATCACGATTAAGCCGCGGCTGAGGATGACGGCAATGTGTCCTCATGATCGCAGCCTGCGGGAGACGTTGAAGAATTAGCCGCTGTCGCGAGTGTCGATGATGATGTCCCCGTGATTGCGGGCCGCGGGAGATGTTCACGATTTCGCCGCGGTCGCAAGTATCGATAATGATTTCCCCGTGATTGCGGCTCGCGGCAGATGTTCATGATTTAGCCGTGGCCGCGGGTGACGGTTATGTATCCTCATAATCGAAGCCCGCAGGAGACGTTAAAGAATTAGCCGCTGTCACGAGTGTCGATGATGATGTCCCTGTCATTGCGGCCCGCGGGAGATGTTCACGATTTTACTGCGGTTGCGGGTGGCGGTAATGATGTCCTCAAGGTCAAAGCTCATGTGATATGATCATGATTTCGTCGCGGTCGCGAGTTTTGAGGATGATGTCCCTTTGTTGCAGCCCGCGGGGGATGTTAAAGATTTTCGCGTGGTCATGAATATGATGGCTTTGACTTGGTTTAGGAGAGATGTCCACGATTTCATCCACGATCACGGGTGTCGATGATGATGTCCCCTTGATGCATAGGAGATATTCACGATTACCTCCGTGATCGCAAGGAATTTCCATCACAGAGGGAGGGCCGCTCTAGTAATTTGGCCTAGGGCCGCAAGTACAGTAGAACCTCTTTAATCCGAACTAATTGGGACCAGGGGTATTTCGGACTATTGAATAGTTTGGATTCCAGAACATATTGTTGTTTTTACATAACAATAGCTAAAACATGGCTAAAATTTATCAACATTAGTTTGGGAAAAGTGAAAAAATGTTTTATAAAGTAAAATTCAGTGTTTATTTAATACAGTAGTAAACATGGTGAATAAACAGTACTGTAAATTAAATACAGTATACAATAAAGAACTGCTGTACTGTGTATAGAGTACAGCAATGAGGGGTTCGGATTAGTTGACGTTCGGATTACAGGGGTTCGGATTAAAGAGGTTCGGAAAAAATGTTTTATAAAGTAAAATACAGTGTTTATTTAATACAGTAGTAAACATGGTGAATAAACAGTACTGTAAATTAAATACAGTATACAATAAAGAACTGCTGTACTGTGTATAGAGTACAGCAATGAGGGGTTCGGATTAGTTGACGTTCGGATTACAGGGGTTCGGATTAAAGAGGTTCTACTGTACCCTAAATCCGGCACTGTCCTTTAATCCGAATAGAATTGTTGTTGACAACCTTGTAACCGGTGCTTATATGAAATTTATTTCATTACTAGTCTACAAAAAGAAATTTCAGAATTATTAATCAAAAATAAATTATTGGAGTAATACCATACCTATTTGCACCAGGTACAAGAAAGTGCCTGCCTAGGTGTTTTTTTATGATGTCTGCAGGGTGTTTTTTTATGATGTCTGCAGGGTGTTTTTTTATGATGTCTGCAGGGTGTTTTTTTATGATGTCTGCAGCCAATGGAGACTTGTTTTGTTTATTGAAGATGGCTTGGCATTTAGCAAACGCCAGTCGCATAATTTTCCTATAAGCAGGGTCACATTTCGCAGCCTCAGCATCAGTTGTTGCTAGCAAGTTCAGGGTGTGGGCAGCACAGGAGTGGTGAGGAGGAAGACGTCCATAATCATCAGAGTCCTCCAATATCGGTGCTATAGCTATAATGTCAGGGTCTGGCACAATGTCACCCCCATCAATTTCTTCGGTGTCTTCACAACATAAGTCTGAATCGGGTCCCGAGCCCCCAAAAAGCCTGAAAAATGTATCCAGTTGTTAATAATAGTAACATTTACCTTCTAAAGACTGACCAGCAGTCGGCATTAGCGCAAACTGTTGAAATTTCACTTAAATTGCTCAGCAATTCATTTTTCATTTGGATGAATGATTTATCCAACATATCCAAAATCCATAACAAGTTCAACATCAACGTTTGTAGTAAGCTATGTCATTCTTTTTTCCTGTGACTTTTATTAAAAAATGTTGCAAA